TGCAGCGGATTTGCCGATTGCAATATATGGTTTGATTTCTTGACTGCTGCTTCCATGAATTCTGATAATGGATTCAAGCAAATGAAGTCTGGCAATCTCAATCCCTTTCCGTTAGCATCTCTATGCTGAAAAGTAAGTTTCAGAGTGTCTTCTGACCTCCATTTTGGTCTTTTCCTTCTTTCTTATATTCCTAATAACCTTTTGTTTTCTTCTTGTATGATGCTCTTGATGTCATCCCATAACTCTTCTGGTCTTTGATCCTTAGTGTCTAATGTGTCAAATCTGTTCTCCAGATGGTCTCTACATTTAGGTTGGGTATACTCAAGATCATATTTTGGCTCTTATGGACTTGTTTTAATTTTCTTCAGCTTCAGCATGAACTTGCAGATGAGCAATTGATTGTCTCCCTGGCATTGTTTTGGCTGATGATACTGAGTTTTTCACTATATCTTTCCACAGATATACTCAATTTGATTTTTGTGTATTCCATGTGGTGAGGTCCATGTGTATAGTTGTCTTTTATGTGTTTCAAAATCGTAATTGTGATGAATAACTCATTGGCCTTGCAAAATTCTATCATGTGGTCTCCAGCGTAATTTCTATCACTAAGGCTGAAGTTTCCAACAAACTGGTCCTTCCTCTTTGTTTCTAACCTTATTCTTCCAATCACCAGTATTTATCAACATATCCTGATTGCATGTTTCATAAATTTCATACTGAAGAATTTCATAGAACTCTTCAGTTTCATCATCACTGGATTTAGTGGTTGGTGTGTAAATTTGACGAATCATCTGTCATTTTGTCATCGTTCTGTGGTGGCTTGTAAGTTACTGTGATTCTGAAAGCTATGCCACAGGTATCTTAAATACCAGCAGGGTCACCCATGGTGGACAGGTTTCAGCTGAGCTTCCAGACAAATACAGAGAAGGAAGAAGGAGTGACAAACTACTTCCGATTATTTAATCACTGAAAACCTTATGAATAGCAGAGACACTACCCTTGTAGGCATATGGATCTTATTACATCTCAGACAGTGCTGTACTTCAAGACAGATAGTGCAATGGTCTTTCTGATGATGAATGTGAACGTGCCACAGGACAATAGCCTACAGAGGAATGGTGGCTTCCCAGAGCACACTGCGTTTCTCAGAAGTCTGAGTTATCTCGTCCACATGTGGCCAGGTGTTGTTTTCATCCTCACATCACTTCCCATGGAACCTACTGTTGTTAGAAACACTGAAAGATCTTAGGAATGTTAATTACATAATAGCCAAGTGTTTAAAACACGTTTTTCAGACGTAAACCTTTGAACTAAGATGTCGTTGTTGTCAAGTGCCATGGAGTCAGTTCCAACTCACAGTGACTGTATATAGGGTTTCCAAGAAGCAGCTGGTGAATTTGAACCCCTGACCTTTCAGTCTAGATTTATCTTTCATTGTAGGGCACCACACCAGGACTCCAAAATATCCCCTAGTGCTGCGAGCCTACAGGGGAGCAATGAACTGCATTCCTGGCCTGCAGAATGCTCTACCACAGTTGACAGGTTTTGAAATTCTAAGTGGCTTTGAACGCTGGGCACTTTCGCATCCACTACTTGAGACATTAGCATGAGAAGAAGGCACTCTTAGAAACTGACTTTTGTAAACTGCAGCCTGGGGCCAGATCTGGTCAACACCTGCTCTTTTACAGGTTGCTAGATCAGAATGCTTTTAACATTTTAAAAAAAATGTTAAAAAAGAACAAAAAGGAATAAGAATTTGGTACTGAGGGGAATGGAGTTCACAAAGCCTGAACCATCCCTCTCTGGTCTCTACTGGAAATGCTTGCTGCCCCCACCTGCTGTTCTTAAGTGCCATTGAGTCTGTTCAGAGACACAGCAACTCTGTATAGGATTTCCGAAGAGTGACCTTCCGGTTAGCAGTCCAATGCTATGGAATCCAGGATTCCATATTAAATTTGCAGTGCCATAATAAATACAAACATTCACAAGTAAAATGTGTGTTCTGTGCAGGTTGAAAATGAAGTAATTCCACAGGTGTTCACAGGGCCAGGAAACAAGCTGGATTTGAAAGGAAACAGCTAGCTCTTTTTTTTTAGATGTTCCAGCACCCCAAATCCTGGGTCTTCAGCCCCTGCATTCCAGACAAATTGACTCCTAGCCCCCTGATAACCCAAGCCCTTCCCCTTCTTTTGAGTGAAACTGTCATTTCTAAAGAAGCTTGCCGATGAAGGCATGTATCCAGGAGTATCTGAAACACTGCTGAAACCTACCTGGGCTTGCCTGATACACTTTGTTCCTTGGACTTCAAATCTCAATATGACCCCATTTCTTTGCCACTGCTCAGTCTCCTACTGAGACTTTGTAGATTCAAGGAATGATCTGTAACTTTGTCTTAACTTTGCTGCGTCTCTTCAGCAGTGCGTCAGTGGAAAAACCTGTATTCTCAGCTGTAAAATGAATTCTCATCAAAGCTGGCGGTAGAGGCCGAGGTCAAAATGGACATTATTTTGTTCCTAGTTTGTCCCTTATTCAATACCCATTAAACTGTCTAAACTCTCTGAGTCTGCATTTTCTGATTTGGAAAAAATAGCATCCCTCCCAAGTTTCCAGTTTTCCATCCAGCACAAACAGAACAATGCCATGTGCACAAGACTCCGATGGAATAGCAAAACGGAACATAAACCTTTAATCTGTGTTTATTCAATCAGCAGCTGCACGTGTGTTTCTAATTCTTAACTTGCCCAAATTCTGCTGTAAAAGAAGACATAGCTGCACGCTCATTGGGGCCATGCCTTCATGGTGCTTTCAGAAGGTTTTTAACTTTTATTAGGGTGGTGCCTCCTTCTTGGTAAGTGCTGTTGAATCAGCTCCAACCCTGTGAAAGGTTCCCAGGGAGCAGCTGGTTCGTTTGAACCGCCGACTTCGTGGTTTAAACTGACCTTGCAGTCTAGTGCATTTTCGCGTAGTGCCACACCAAGACTCCATGTTCTTGTTAAGTGCCATGGAGTCGGTTTCCACTCAAAGCAACTCTGTATAGGGTTTCCAGGGAGGAGCTTGTGCTCTTGAACCACCAACTTGTGGCACAAACTGACCTTGAAGTTCAGTGAATTCAACCAGTAGCACCACATATGTAGATATGAAAATAAATGCAAAAATCAAAATTTCTTGATGCTGTGAAGCTGCCAAATAGCATCTGTGCGAGTTCTTTACTGGTGTTGCTCTTGTTGTTACATGCCAGGAATTAACTCAAACTCAGTGACCTTACCTTGTACACAACAACACAAAACACTGCGCAGTCCTCCAGCATCCTCAGCTCTTATGCTGGAGCCCGTTGCTGCTGCTGCCACTGTGCCAAACCATCTCATTGGGTGTCTTCCCATGAGTGGAATCTGCTTGTGAAATTTCAGTCATGGAAAACCCTGTGGAGCACAGCTCTCCTCGGACACCTATCCCGCAGGGGCATGCCATGAGTCAGAATTGGCTTGATGGTGGTGTATTGGTATGCCACTTACCTGATGGATGCTTTATAAATATTTGTTGAAAGGATGAGATCTATGCCCAAGGAATATTCATTTCTTCTTTGCTTAAAAAAGAGAGCGAGGAGGGAATAAAGAGACAACAAATACGATTCCTGGGAATTTATTATTTTGGCAGTCTTCTGTAGAGAGAAAAAGGGAAATGAAAATTTACTATGGCAAAATGATCTGAATGTATGTATTCCAGGAAAATGCAGAAAAACTTTACCACTGTACAACATGTTGGTAAAAAAGAATCATATAAAGCCCATAATAGAAATTTGTGGAAGTTTATTGAATATATGATTTGCAATGTATTCATTTCAACTAGAGTGGAAATAAACAAATCCCTGTAGATGAGAGGATATCTAGAGATCCTTGAACACCATCTTATTGGCATTGTCGTGGGGAGAGGGTTGAGAGAAACCTACAAAGACTTAGCGGTCAAGAAGGATTTCCTGGCTAGTGTTGAGGAAAAATGAAAATAATTACTGCCTTACCTTAAGCTTAGGAGCTCTGGTTGCATAGTGGTTACGAATCAGGCTGAGAACCTTAAGGTCAGCAGTTCGAAAGTACCAGCTGCTCCGCAGGAGAAAAATGAGGCTTTCTGCTCCCGTAAAGATTTATAGTCTCGGGAAACCCTGTATGGGGTCGCTATGAGTCAGAACTGACTCAATGGCACTTAACAACAACAACAACCTTAAGCTTAGCTCCCAGTCCGGCCCTTGGAGTCTGATTCCTGGAAGTGACTGAATTCTTCAAAAGAGCCCAAGGCCCCAGGCCAGCCAATCTACAGAGCAGTCCAGATCATTGCTTGATAAGAAGTGTGGTTGTCGTTGTTTACTGCTAGCCTAGAGTCTGTTCCAATTCATAGCAACCCTGTGGAGGGTTTTCAAGGTGTGGCTGGTGCGTTTGAACTGCTGACCTTGTGGTTCAAACCAACCTTGCAGTCTAGTGCTTTATCCCATAGTGCCACATACATAAAGACAAACAGCCTGGGTGGTCACCCCCACTCCGTGGACCCAGAAGTCTGCATTCCATAACTAAACTCTGCCTCAGTGTCCTGTTAGCACTCTCCCTAACTGACGGATGTTGGCTGACATAGAAGGCAATCGGGGTGAATATTTTCAGAAAGAGAGAAATTTGCTGAATTCTAGGAAAACCACGGCTTGTGTGAGGGAAATACAGAATGTTGGGACTCATGACTTAAATATGTCCCTGATGTTTGTGGAGGGTTTCCTTCTCTTAGCTTGTCGGTGTATTTATGCATCTGAAAGTGCCCATGGAAACTTGGGGCACTTTCACGTAAAACCGGACATGGTTTCAAATGAAGGACAAGTGGAAACCTTGTTAAAGCTTCAGCTTGTGCACGAGAGTCTGTAGTCCCGCCCCACTCGATGGGATGGCTGCTTCCTTCAGCGCACAGAGAACCTGCTTGTGCCTCAGTGTACCCTTCGCTAACATCAGTGGCCTTTCTTTCCTCAGGCCTTCCCTGGAAACACCAATTCCGATGGCGTGGTCCGCCATGACCTGCAGCACCTGGTGACTGCCCGTTATGTCCGCCTGGTGCCCCTGGACTGGAACTCGGAGGGCCGCATCGGGCTGCGTGCTGAGATCTACGGCTGCTCCTACTGTGAGTGTCCCTGAGCCCACAGTGTCATCTCCACCCGAATCCTATCACCCGCTTTTAGTCGTTTGTTGTTGCTGGCTCCCATGGGCTTCTTGTTGTAAACACAGATGAAACGTAAGGCTGTCTCACTGTATAGCTGCAATGCACGTGACACCCACGGATGAGCATCTGTGTGAAATGCACGTGACACCCACAGATGGGCATCCCAAGAGCACATTGAGTGATAGAGTTGGAGCATCCTTTCTGCTCGGTGGTTCTAAACCAGTAAGCTGCTCAAGCACATCCCCTGAAGCCTTATGGGACATCTGAAAAGGAGTAGGCGCGGGCTGAGGTTGATAAACAGAGACTCCTGCTGTTATATGTACCCACGGACGCAGGTCCACATATTCACTCACGCTCTCCTGTCAGCATCAGGCGAGGAAATGCAATGTTGTTTCCCCAGCATGGCAGTGGTTTTTATCGGGAACATGTGTTGCTGTGCATAAGTGAAAACACTTCAGGCTCTTCGTGGAAACCGTGTGCATATATTTTACTCCATGAAGAGTTCCTTACTGAGCATTGATTGTTGTCAGAAGCTGCCCCAGTGTGGGAAAGGAAGGGCCAACACAGATGCTGACAGAGAAGGCCGGGCAGTCCATCTCATGGTAGGAATTACGACAGAAACAATGAAAGCAAAACCTGCCCAAAGGTGCAGCGTCCAGGAGAGCGGAAAGAGGACCCTGAGCAGGAATGGTCAGGGCCTTACTCTAAGTTCCTTAATGCCAAGGAGGGGTCACCCCCACACGCACCACGGTTCCATGCTAAATCTTCCCACCCCAGAGGCTCTTAAGGTATTACTACTGTTTAACAGTCCCTCGGAAACCCTGTACAGGGTCGCTATGGGTCGGAACCGACTCGACGGCACTTAACAACAACAACAACAACAGTGAAAATACAAACAGTACAAAAGACAACAAAGCCACCCACCTGCTTTATCACTGTAGATCAGCATTCCCTTGTTTTTGAATTTCATGCCAGTGGAATCATACAATATGCATGATTTTGTGTCTGCATCTTCTGGTTAAAATAATGTTTGTGATAACCATGCAGGTTGGTATTTGAGGCATTTGCTTGCTCACTTTCTTTGACTCTATTATTCTACTGTGAATGTACCATGTAATCATTTGTTCATTCTTATGTTGATGGAAATTTGCCTGGTCTCAGAGTTGGCTTATTTCGATAGAATTGCTGTAAACATCTTTGTGGAATAGAGACCCAGGAGGGGATAATAGTAAACTAGCAGGTGTGTATATCTCAGTTTTGTCCAGACTGAAGGAGTGTTTCTGGAGTGGATGTGTCCATGCAGACATGATAGTTCGTAACCTCTTTTCCCAAGTATTCACCATTCTGATGGAAGTTTCTTTATATTTCATGCTTGTTTCCTTGCTATATTTTCCAGATTTCTAAAGGTGTTATATTTATTATTCATTGGATATTTCTCTTTGATGTGTTTGTTCAAAAAAAAAAAAAAATATGTATCTGCTTGTGTTTCCATTGGGCTGTTTTTCATTTGTTGTCTCACTAATTGAAGTAGTTTTTACTGCCAATTCGGTGCTTTTCCTCTTTTCATTCTGATTATGGCACCTGGACATGTATCTAGTTTTTGAAGTAGTTTTCTTTAAACATAATAATTTTAGAGGCAGCACTGCCGATAAGGTTGCTCAAGAAGGATCTGCTGGAAAGGGAGGGCACAGCTTGCTGGAAGGCAGTTCGTGCTGACTGGACTGTGGTTTACCATGTGGCAGGGCGTTCTGTGGTCTTGGGGAGCAGTATGTGAAGCTGTGACTTGTGTGCTATTGTGGGCTGTTCTGTCAAGTCAAGGTGTTGGCAATCTGGAGACACAGAGGAAAACCACCTGCAGTAAGAGAGGAAGTCAGACTTAGTCAGGGTATCGGCTTCTCTGGGGGCATCCATCTAACAATCCATGCCAACATCCATGCCAACAGATACCACAGAGTAAATGAAAACTTGGCAACAGAGAGAAAGAAATTACAGTGCGAAATGTCCAAACGGTCTAGCTAAATTCTAGATGCTAAATTATGTCTCATAAGAACTGATTTTGGGGTTTTTTCTAGCAATCATAGGTATTGAACTACTGAGATATGACAAAGCTGAGGTCGGTCGAGCATACATACGGGCTTCTTTTTCTACAACCTGGGAATGGAGGTTCATGTGTGGAAAGTGCATGAATTCAGCAACACTCGTCATTTCAGACAGAAGCAGCAGCATACAGAGCACCATTGTCGGATTGGCTAAACAACCACACTGACCTAAGCAGCTTTCTTACAAGAGTTTAACCCATCCTCTTGGTAGCGCAGCGGTTACAAATTGGGCTGCGAACTGCAAGGTCAGCAGTTCGAAACTACCGGCTGTTCCACAGGAGAAAGGTGAGGCTTTCTGCTCCTGTAAAGATTTAGAGCCTCAGAAACCCTGTACAGGGTCGCTGTGGGTCGGAACCGACTCCACGGCCCAGAACCACCACCACCTGTTAAATCCACTGTCTTCTTAGTCTCATCTCTTCCCCTTAAGAAATTGCTGTTCTAGTTTTGTTGTTGTTGTTGTTATGTGCCATTGAGTCGGTTCCGACCCATAGCGACCCTGTATAGGGTTTCTGAGGGTGTAAATCTTTAGGGGAGTAGAAAGCCTCATCTTTCTCCCGCGGAGCAGCTGGTAGTTTCGAACCGCTGACCTTAAGATTCGCAGCCCGATTCGTAACCACTACGCTACCAGAGCTCACCTTAAAAACAAGCTGTCTTCTACGTTACCTGGTGAGGGCCAATGCTGGGAGTCATCTTCAGAGACCCCTGAAGGTGCCCACGGCAGATGGTGCTATGGATTTTCTGGTACCAGGCAGGTCACGTTCTGAGTCTTCAAATGTAATGGTGTACCTACAAAATACTAAGAAGATGAAGTCTCTCTCCTCTCAGTCTGTCTGTTCTTTCTGTCTTCCCATCATATCTATTGTAAGCAGCTGGTGGATTTGAACTGGTGACCTTCTGGTTCACAGCCCAGTGCTTATCTTACTTTTCTGTGGTCTCATTTGTTACAGAAATAATAGCAAAGTAATCCAGGCACTTAAATAATTGTAGACATTAAAAAAAAAAAAAAATAGCTCTAGAATATTGTTCTCCAGTAGAACTTTCTACCCTGACATAAACATTCTAAACTGATCCTAACCACGAGTCAAATGTGGCCATTGAACACTTAAAATCCACTGAGACAAAGGAGGAACAAGATTTCAGATTTTACTTATTTTTCATTCTTTTGAATTTGAAATTGAATAACCATGAGTGGCTAATGGAAACCATATTGTACAGCACAACTTACAAAATCAAAGCATCTGCTTACCTGTTTCTTTCTGCCTCTTCTTTGTGTGTATTTATTTATTTAAATGCAGTCTCTAATTTGGGTTCTTTAGTCTACAAACCAACAATCTCATCACTCTGGTAGCTATGGTCCTGTCAACGTTTGCTGGCTAGCCAGCTTCCTAAACTCTCCAAATACCTGGAGCAGAAATGTCTCCTGGGTCTACTTTTGAAGAACGCAGATGGCGTTGATCTTCTTTTCCAAATACACATAGATATACATAGGGCCCTGGTGTGGTGCTGTAGGATAAACACTGGAACTGCTAAGCTCAAGGTCGAGTTCACAATCCACTCCGCAGAAACCTACAGAGGGTCACTATTAGTCAGAACCGATTTGACAGCACACAACATGCTTGGAATAAGAAAAAGGAAAAAAGGATGCTCTGAACATTAGAGTCCAGCTATGTCATGGTGGGCTAATGCGCTGGACTAGATAATTGATTTAAACCACAAGGTTAGTGGTTCCAGGGTTCCAGCTCACCAGCCACTCCTTGGAAACCCTATACAGGGTTGCTATGGGTTGGAACTGAGTCAACGACACTTTACAACAACAACCAAAAGCATTGATTGGAGTTCTAATGTGAAACTGTGGGTTAATGCACAGGACTGCAAAGTTGGTTTAAACTGCAAGGTCAGCAGTTCAAGCTCACCAGCTGCTCCTAGGAAACTACATAGAGTCTCTGTGACTTGGAACCGACTTGGTGGCACTTCACAACTACAAGCATTGATGGGAGTCCTGATGTGGTTGGGGTGGTACTATAGGGTCAGCACTGGACTGTGAACCACAAGATCACCAGTTCCAACACACAGGTTTTCTTCAGAAACCCTGTCCAGGGGTCAGTATGAGTGTGAACTGACTCAACTGACTCGATGGTACTTAACAACAACAGAAAACATTGATTCTGGACAGTTTTCTGAAAGGACTCTGATAGGAATTGATCTATCTTGGGAGTCAGACTGTTTCCCTTGAACTTGGCAGCTGACGTCTTGAGTTCTGTGTTGGATTTTCAGATGACAGAAGCTGCTACTTTAGATGGAAGATTCATCACACCCCCATCTGCCTTCTCAGAGACCTAGGATTCCCTGGAGGAGAAGGCGGCTTTGATCCCTCTGCAGGGCAGAGGTGAAGTCTCTGGTCTTCCTAGGAACCGAGTGAGGGATTCTGCCTTCTCAGAGACGTAGGGTTCCCTGGAGGAAAAGGCAGCTTTGATCCCCCTCTGCAGGGCAGAGGTGAATTCTCTGGTCTTCCTAAGAGCCCTGGGAGGGCTCATCAGAGATCCATCTCAGACCCACAGGTTAGGGAGGGAGTGGAGTTTCTGTGGCTTCAAAGTTTGCTGCACAAACTGGAGGGAGGGATCTCCTGGGCCCTCAGTCCTCCTCAGGCTGTGCCAGCCCCTTTGTGTGGGCTCCTCCCCAGCCAGACGTGCTGAGAAACTCCTGAGCTGGAAAAGCTCAGTGCACTGTCCATGTGGAGATGTTTCGTTCCAGGCCACTGCCTCAAAGCCATCCACTGTTTGTGCTTCCTGATGTGTCTTCAGTCCCTTGAGTCCGAATTTATTTTCAATTCGCCACCACACCCACCTTGCTGTTGATTTTCCC